ATTTTTTACAAAAAATTTGGATAGTGGAAGTTTTGGGGAAGGAGTCCACTCCCGCGGGACTGCCGCGAAGCTATACTTCGCGGGGTGGCTGGCGGTCAGGTTGCCGCTCATCTAAGGCCCTCAGTGCGTCGGGTCTGCTCCCGGCGCCTTAGCTCCCTCATGACGGTTGCTGCCATGTCCGTAACCGCATCCCAGTTGGATGGGGTCTCCAGCATACACCCAATTATAGTCTCGGGTGTAAGGCGACGGTTGGTTGTTGCCTCTGCTGCCTCTCTTTCCGCGCGGAAAAGCGGACACTCGAAGAAGGCGTGTTCTGCATCCGCAACGGATGCACCGCCGCAATAGTCGCAGGATGGGTCGGCCTCGTGCTTGAATCTGTGAAGATAGGCCTTGAAGCATCCGTGGCCCGTGATCAGCTGCGTTGTGTAGAAGTCTACTTGCCCGTGACGTCTGTGTATCCACTGATCCAGATCGGGGATGAGCCGATGTGTCCAGCGTCCAGTGCTCGCGTTATCCCACCTCGCCTGCCACCTTGCGACAGTGGTGCTCCTCTGGGTTCTGCTGCCCGAGTTACCGGTCCTGCGTTCCGCTGCCAGCAGGTCGATAGGGATCGATCCGGCTACCACCAGCGCAGCTTCTTCAGAGACCGTGCAGAAGCAGCAGGAAATGCGCAGCGCGCAGCGTCGATACACCGTCCTGCATTGGCGGCTGTAGCTCGCAACCAGCATGGCCTCCGACCATATCGGTGCGGCGTAGAGTAGGGTTGACGTCACGACTGTTGATATCAGCCGTCTACTGTGCTGCCTAGGACCGCGCGTGTTGGCCATCATCCTCGAGATGGCGGCAGGGGCCTTGGACGCCTTGGCCGCTGCGTACTCCAAGTGACACTTGTAGTTGAGCCTGTGGTCGATCAGGACCCCAAGGTATTTAACCGTCGGGCTTGACTCGATGGTGGTCGAGCCGACCCGGAAGTTCACCTTCTCGACAACCTTTCGGCTACTGATAAGTACGGCCTCCGTTTTCTGCTCGGCAAGGGAGAGACCGTTGTCTGCTAGCCACGACATCAGAATGTCTATCGCATGGCTACATTTAGTAGAGACGTCTGATAGGTGTTTCTCCACCGTGACAAGTGCGATATCGTCTGCAAAGCCAATTACAGAGCAACCTTCGGGTAGTGGCAGCCTCAGTATGTCGTCATACATGACGTTCCACAGAAGTGGCCCGAGGACTGAGCCTTGGGGTACGCCTCCTGTCACGTGATGTATCTGGTTTCCGGTGTCGGAGCTGTATAGCAGGACGCGGTCCTTGAAGTAATCGGCAATCAGCTGGATAATGTAGCCAGATATGCCGCCACGCTGGAGTGCTTGGAGGATTAGACTCCAATTTGCAGAGTTGAACGCGTTTTTGACGTCCAAGGTGCATACGAGGCAGTACTTCTTGGAGCCTCCTTGCCATCTTTCGCCTTTAATGGCATTTTCCGCAAGCTGTGTTACCTCGCAGATCGCATCAATGGTGCTTCGCTTCTTGCGGAAACCGTGCTGATGGGTTGATAGGGCACCGCGCTCCTCGATTTCCCTCTCTAGTTTGCTGCCTATGATGCGCTCGAATATTTTGCCAATCGTATTCAGCATGCATAGGGGCCGAAATGAGGACGGGTCGTCGTTCAGCTTGCCAGGCTTCGGGATGAGCACGAGTCTCTGCTGTTTCCAAGCTCTTGGAAAGGTTTTCTCAGCAATTCATATGTTATACAGCTGCACAAATAGCTTCGGGTAAGCCTTCACTATGGCATGCAGAGCTGCATTGGGAATGCCATCTGGTCCGGGGGCCTTAGATGCTTGGCAGGTTGGCAGCGCGCTAAGGACTTCCTCTTCGCAGGTGGGGATCGGTTCGCCCGCAGCCACGCTGGGTAGTCTTAGTGGCGGCTGTGGCGGGAACAGCGTGTCAACTATTGTTCCCAGATGCTGCTGGGAGGTTGGAGTCGGCTGCCTGGTTAGCTTACCCGTAACCATTTTGTAGGCTGAGCCAAACGGTTCTTTGTCAGCCGCATCGCAAAGCTCCTGGAAACACTTGTGCTTGCTAGTCCTGATCGCCACCTTGAGGGCCTTTTTCATTTTCCTGTACCGTGACTCGTACAGCTCCTGCGTGGTGCGTCCTCGGCTTCTTTGGCATTTCCGCCTTGCAGCGAGACATTTGCTTCTGGCTGAGGCTATTTCCTGGTTCCACCAGGGGACTGGTCGCCTTCCGCCTCCCTTGGTGGATTTCTCCATTGCCGCGTCGCAGGCTGCCTTGATCCTGGCGGATATGACATCCGCGCAGGTGTTTGCCTCGCCTGTAATGGTGTTGGCATCCATGCAGCTTAGGAGCACCTCGGAGTTTAGGGTGTGTACCCTGTAGGCAGTTTCCCGGCTGGTTTGGTGAAGCTGATTTTGTCTCGTTTGGAAGACGATTGCCGCGTGATCGCTATAGGTGAGCAGGTGGGTGACTTCCCAGTAACTGTTCCTGGTGAGCTCCGGACTGGCGAAGGTCAGGTCAATGTATGACTCACGACCTGACTTGCTAAATGTGCATCTTCTTCCATCATTTAGTAGGCAGACATCCAGGGTGGAAAAGGCGTCAAGGATGATAGTTCCCCGCTGGGTCGTTCTTGTACTCCCCCAGGCTGTGGACCATGCATTAAAGTCTCCAGCGATTATCACCGGTGACCGTCCGCGAGCATCTTGGGCGATCTCTTGCACTATCTCCCTGAACTCGTCTGTGTGCAAGCTCGGGGCTAGGTAGCAACTGTATATGGTTGTCCCTTGAAACTTAGCCCTGGCATAGCCAGGCCTCATCGCCCTCTGCGCTAGGTGGCACGGGGGCTGCCCGCAGCTCCAAATGGCTGCGCCGCCATTGGTGCTTTGCTGCCAGACTCCTTCTGGTTTTGGCCGGTAGGGCTCGCTCAGTATAGCGACGTCGATGTTCTGCTCGCTGACCGTCTGGGACAGTAGATCTTGGGCTGATCTACAGTGGTTAAAGTTGAGTTGAAGAACCCTAACCATTGATATTGTTTTTGGCCGCCTTCACGGTGATGTGTGCGTGTTTTTTTTTTTTTTTTTTTTTTTATTAAAAAAAGAATATAGAGTTAAGTGTAATATACAAAAAAGGGAAAGAGTGGAAGAGTCCGCACCCGTGGGACTGCCGCAAAGCTATACTTCACGGGGGCGGCTGGCGGTCCTAATGCCGCTCATCGGCCTTCAGTGCGACGGGTCTGCTCCCGGCGGCTCAGCTCTCGCATCACGGATGCTGTCATTTCAGCAACCGCATCCCATTTGGAGGGGGGTCTCCATCATGCAGCAGACTAAGTTGTCGGGTGTCAGGCGGCAGTTCATTGACGCTTCCAGTGCGGCTCGTTCCGCCGAGAAAAGGGGGCATACGAAGAATGCATGCTCCGCGTCCTCAGTAAAAGCGTCGCCACAGTAGTCGCAGTACGGGTCGACCTCATGCTTAAACCTGTGCAGGTAAGCCTTGAAGCAGCCATGTCCTGTGATGATCTGCGTGGTGTAGTAGTCCAGCTGACCATGTCGTCTCTGCAACCAGGGAACCAGATCGGGGATGAGCCTGTAGGTCCATCGTCCTGTGCTCGCGTTGTTCCATCTATCCTGCCATCGAGCCATGGTGCTGCTTCTCTGGATTGTGCTACCTGAATTCCCAGTCCTGCGCTCCTCTGCCAGTAGGTCTATTGGGATTGCTCCCGATACCACCAATGCAGCTTCTTCTGACACCGTGCAGAAGCAGCTCGAGATGCGCAAAGCACAGCGTCTATAGACAGACTTACACTGCCGGCTGTAGCTGGCAGTCCTCATGGCTTCCGCCCAAATCGGAGCGGCGTACAAGATGGTCGAGGTCACCACTGTAGCTATTAATCGTCTGCTATGCTGCTTTGGGCCACGGGTGTTGGCCATCATCCTAGAGATAGCGGCCGTGGCCTTGGATGCCTTGGCCGCTGCGTACTCCATGTGGCTCTTAAAATTCAGCCTATGGTCGATCATGACTCCGAGGTACTTGATCGCCGGACTGGACTCGACGTATGTCGAGCCGACCCGGAAGGTGACCTTCTCTACGGTCTTTCTACTGCTTATGAGCACTGCTTCCGTTTTGTGTTCGGCGAGCGAGAGACCGTTGTCTTTCAGCCAAGACATCATCATGTCGATTGCAAGGCTGCACTTAGCAGAGACATCCGACAGGTGCTTCTCCACCGTGACCAGCGCTATATCGTCAGCGAACCCTGCAACGGCGCAGCCATCTGGTAGTGGAAGTCTCAGGATCCCGTCATACATGACGTTCCACAGGATTGGCCCAAGAACAGATCCCTGTGGTACACCACCTGTCACGTGGTGCATCTGGTTGCCGTCGTCGGATATGTACAGAAGGACGCGATCTTTGAAGTAGTCCGCTATCAGGAGGGTGAGGTTCCCTGATATGCCGCCATGTTGGAGTGCCTGCAGGACTAAGCTCCAATTTGCTGAGTTGAAAGCGTTTTTGACATCTAGGGTGCAGACCAGGCAGTAGCTTGGTGCCTCCCTGCCATCTTTCGCCTTCAATCGCGTTTGCTGCCATTAGCGTTACCTCTCGTATCGCGTCGATCGTGCTCCGCTTCTTCCGGAAACCGTGCTGCTGATTCGATAGGGCTCCACGCTCTTCGATCTCTCTCTCCAACTTGTTGCAGATTATGCGCTCAAATATCTTCCCCAGTGTGTTGAGCATGCACAGGGGGCGATATGAGGACGGGTCGTCATTCGTTTTGCCTGGTTTAGGGATGAGCACTAGTCTCTGCTGCTTCCATACTCTTGGAAAAGTGCGCTCCGCAATGCACCTGTTGTATACCTGTGCAAATAGGCTTGGGAATGACTTCATTATGGCATGAAGTGCAGCGTTGGGAATGCCATCGGGTCCCGGGGCTTTGGCTGCTTTGCTGCTGGCCACCGCGCACAGTATTTCCTCCCTCGCTGGTGAAGATCGCTTCACTCGCAGCTAAGTTTGGCAGCACGAGGGGCGGCTGCGAAGGGGAACAGCGTGGAGATTATAGCTCCAAGTTGTTCCTGGGAGGTTGGCGTCGGCGGTCTGTAGAGCTTGCCCATGACCAGCTTGTAGGCCGAGCCGAAGGGTTCCTGGTCTGCTGCATCGCACAGCTCTCGGAAGCACCTGCTCTTACTCGTCTTAATAGCGATTTTGAGGGCTTTTTTCTTCTCCTTGTAGCGTGTCTCGAACAGCGCTTGCGTGGGACGCCCTCTACTTCGTTGACATCTTCGCCTTGCAGAGAGGCACTCGCTCTTGGCGACGGATTCATGATTCCACCAGGGGACTGGTCTCCTTCCATTTCCTCTAGTGGAGCTCGCCATGGCGGCATCACAAGCAGCCTTGATTCTCGCAGCTAATATGTCGGCGCAGGTGTTGGCGTCGCCAGTGATGACGTTGCCATCCATACTGCTTAGGAGTGTATCTGCGTTAAGGGTGTGTACCTTGTACGCAGATTGCCGGAGAGACGGGCCCTGCTGGCTGTGCGTCGTCTGGGTGATAATGGCTGCGTGGTCGCTGTATGTGAGCAGATCCGTGACCTTCCAGTGGCTGGTCCGGCAGAGCTCCGGGCTGGCGAAAGTCAGGTCAATGATTGACTCTCTGCCTGCCTTGCTATAGGTGCATCTAGCTCCATCGTTCAGGAGACAAACGTCTAGTGTGGCCAGGGCGTGCAGAAGGATGGTTCCCCGCTGGGTCGTTTTCGAGCTCCCCCAGGCGGTGGACCACGCATTGAAGTCCCCAGCGATTAGTACTGGGGATCTTCCGCGGGCGTCTCGGGCGATCTCCTGCAAGATGTCTCTAAAGGCATCTATATGCAAGCTCGGGGCTAGGTAGCAGCTGTAGATGGTGGTTGCTTGGACCTTAGCCCTTGCATAGCCAGGTCTCGACGCCCTCTGTGACAGGTGTCCGGGGGACTGCCCGCAGCTCCATATGGCTGCACCACCATCCGCACTCTGTTGCCATACTCCCTCTGCCTTTGACTTGTACGGTTCACTCAGTACAGCAATGTCAATTTCCTCCTCGAAAACCATCTGTGACAGCAGATCTTGGGCAGCTCTGCAGTGGTTTAGGTTAAGCTGTAAAAACTTAACCATTCTGCGTGTTATGGGTGGCCTTCAGGTACTCAGGGCAGATCCTGCTCAAAGTAGCGTGCGCAGCTTCACCCGCGGGTTTGCCTCCTCTGGTGCATAGGATACACCTGGGCTTGGCTTGGCACGTGTAGTGCTTGTGGCCTTCTTCCCCGCATCTGAAGCAGGAGTTTTGTGTGGCCTTGGCTACTGCGTCTGAGGCCCTGCATCTCGTCGAGGTATGCCCATAGCCCATGCATTTGAAGCACCTCCTTAGCTCGGTCTTCTGTCTGATGCGACTGACGACCCATCCGATTCGGATTTTGCCCTTATCGAGCAGTCGCCGCGCATGATCGGGCCTGAGATTGACGGTTGCTGTTTGCGTGCCGCCAAACGCCTTCCGCATCCTAGGTGCAGCGTTGCTTGCGATGTCTGAATCCTCTCCAGCAAACAGAGCCATAGTGACTTCATCGCCGCTGGTCATCTCGTCCAGGTCGCGAATCTCCACTTGCACAGTTTCCTGCATGACCGCCACCTCTGCTTTATCGGATATGGCCGTCCTGAGAGCTGCCTGCAGCTGCTGTGTGGACGGGTCCTGAGGCTTCTGCATTCTCAATAGGAGTCCGCCATTTGCAGTTCTTCGCAAGCCTTGAACATTATCTTTGAGTCCCTGGAGGGAGGGCTCAGTTTTTGACCAGCTTCAACATATCTGCGTACGAGCCTTCGCTGCACTTTATTAAAATAGCGTCGGCGCGCTGCTTCCTGGGCATGACAGCGTTTGGTGCTCGAGTCCCTTTGGGTTCGCTGCTCTCCTGTCTCGGTTGGGGATTCCTGGGTTTAGGCTTGGCTCTGACCTGTTGCCATGCCGAATTTCCTGGCCCTTGGTGTGGCCATCGGCCAGCGCTGCACTGATGTCGACCTGCAGCTTTTTCATCGCCATCATGGAGTCGATTGTCCCATGGGTGACGTGGCGGACCACCTTTTTGTTGTTTGTCTTGGTATCCGTGAACTTGGCGATCATCTCGTCTAGCATCTTCCCCAGCTTTTCGGCTAGTGCTGGTGCGCTAGTGTCCACTCTCTGCTTCTTGTGCGTTCCTGACTGGTTCCCATCGGGGCTCACAGCATCAAAGCTTCTCTTCGGAGTAGCCGGTTTCTCCTCAGTCTCGCCGAAAACAAACACGGGTCCCTGCACATTTGGCGGTGCCGACACCGGTTGCTTCTCTGGCATGCTCGCGGGAGGCGAGTGTTGCATCCTCTGCTTGTTGCGCTGGAAGTTTCGCAGCAGTTCCTCCTCTGCTCTAGCTACTGCTAATGCCTGGGTCTCGTCGTCCCGGCCTGCAGGCGGTTTCATTTGGCTCATCGCACCTGCTCCTTAGTGGGGTCCCTCGGTGCACAGGGATTTCCCCCAGTGGATGCCTGATGGGAGTTATACCGCTCCTTCTCGGTCCCCAGAGCCCCTTTTGACTGGCGCCGCCTCAGCGGAGGGGTTGGATAGCCTCTAGTTAAAATTTTTAAATTTGCGCGGGCTGCACTCGTTTTCCAACACTACCTCAGGTGCGAAAGCTCCCTACGCGTGCGTTGCGCAGCACTGTGATCAGCTGATCTTGTTGTGCTGCTGAAAACGCGAGGGAAAATGGAAAAAGAGTGGCTTGTGGAAACTGTTCCAATTCGTGAGAGTGAGGTGCTCACTGGACGAGAGAGCGGTCCCCCCCCTTGCCCTGGGGGTCTATGGCGATCGCGAGTACCAGGATTCCCAAGATTCGGATATCCTCCCTGGGCCGGTTCTGGTACGTATCCTTGTCCCGAGGTGTCTCACACTGCACTAATACTGCTTTTCAGCTGCTTCCGAGGTGTTTATACTGGCTCCTAGACAGTTCACTTTCGGAGCTCGGAAAAACGCGTCCAACCACTGTGAGTAGAAAACACACTTCTGATGTGTGCGTGTGCGAGTGTGTGTGTGTGTGTATGGCTTCGTGCCGGGTGGTTTTTTTTTTTTTTTTTTTTAATTGAAAAGAATATAGGCTTAAGTACATATGTTACAGAGGATGGATAGGGTGGAAAGTCCGCACCCGTGGGACTGCCGCAAAGCTATACTTCACGGGGGCGGTTGGCGGTCCTGTTGCCGCTCATCGGTCGCCTTCGGTGCGACGGGTCTGCTCCCGGCGCCTCAGCTCTCGCATCACGGTTGCTGCCATTTCGGCAGCCGCATTCCATTTGGAGGGGGTCTCCAACATGCAACCGACTAAGTTGTCGGGTGTCAGGCGGCAGTTCATTGCCGCTTCCAGCGCGGCTCGTTCCGCCGAGAATAGGGGGCATACGAAGAATGCATGCTCCGCGTCCTCAGTAAAAGCGCTGCCACAGTAGTCGCAGTACGGGTCGACCTCATGCTTAAACCTGTGGAGGTAGGCCTTGAAGCAACCATGTCCTGTGATGATCTGCGTGGTGTAGTAGTCCAGCTGACCATGTCGTCTCTGCAACCAGGGAACCAGATCGGGGATGAGCCTGTAGGTCCATCGTCCTGTGCTCGCGTTGTTCCATCTATCCTGCCATCGACCCATGGTGCTGCTTCTCTGGATTCTGCTACCTGAGTTCCCAGTCCTGCGCTCCTCTGCCAGTAGGTCTATTGGGATTGCTCCCGACACCACCAATGCAGCTTCTTCTGACACCGTGCAGAAGCAGCTCGAGATGCGCAAAGCGCAGCGTCTGTAGACAGACTTACACTGCCGGCTGTAGCTGACAGTCCTCATGGCTTCCGCCCAAATCGGCGCGGCGTACAAGATGGTCGAGGTCACCACTGTAGCTATTAATCGTCTGCTATGCTGCTTTGGGCCACGGGTGTTGGCCATCATCCTAGAGATAGCGGCAGTGGCCTTAGATGCCTTGGCCGCTGCGTACTCCAGGTGGCTCTTAAAATTCAGCCTATGGTCGATCATGACTCCGAGGTACTTGATCGCCGGACTGGACTCGACGTATGTCGAGCCGACCCGGAAGGTGACCTTCTCTACGGTCTTTCTACTGCTTATGAGCACTGCTTCCGTTTTGTGTTCGGCGAGCGAGAGACCGTTGTCTTTCAGCCAAGACATCATCATGTCGATTGCAATGCTGCATTTAGCAGAGACATCGGACAGGTGCTTCTCCACCGTGACCAGCGCTATATCGTCAGCGAACCCTACTACGGCGCAGCCATCTGGTAGTGGAAGTCTCAGGATCCCGTCATACATGACGTTCCACAGGATTGGCCCAAGAACAGATCCCTGGGGTACACCACCTGTCACGTGGTGCATCTGGTTGCCGTCGTCGGATGTGTACAGAAGGACGCGATCTTTGAAGTAGTCCGCTATCAGGAGGGTGAGGTTCCCTGATATGCCGCCGTGTTGGAGTGCCTGCAGGACTAAGCTCCAATTTGCTGAGTTAAAAGCGTTTTTGACATCTAGGGTGCTGACCAGGCAGTATTGCTTGGTGCCTCCCTGCCATCTTTCGCCTTCAATCGCGTTTGCTGCCATTAGCGTTACCTCTCGTATCGCGTCGATCGTGCTCCGCTTCTTCCTGAAACCGTGCTGCTGATTCGATAGAGCTCCACGCTCTTCGATCTCTCTCTCCAACTTGTTGCAGATTATGCGCTCAAATATCTTCCCCAGTGTGTTGAGCATGCACAGGGGGCGATATGAGGACGGGTCGTCATTCATTTTGCCTGGTTTAGGGATAAGCACTAGTCTCTGCTGCTTCCATACTCTTGGAAAAGTGCGCTCCGCAATGCACCTGTTGTATACCTGTGCAAATAGGCTTGGGTATGACTTCATTATGGCATGAAGTGCAGCGTTGGGAATGCCATCGGGTCCCGGGGCTTTGGCTGCCTTGCTGCTGGCCAACGCGCACAGTATTTCCTCCTCGTTGGTGAAGATCGCTTCACTCGCAGCTATGTTTGGCAGCACGAGGGGCGGCTGCGACGGGAACAGCGTGGAGATTATAGCTCCAAGTTGTTCCTGGGAGGTTGGAGTCGGCGGTCTGTAGAGTTTGCCCATGACCAGCTTGTAGGCCGAGCCGAAGGGTTCCTGGTCTGCTGCATCGCACAGCTCTTGGAAGCACCTGCTCTTACTCGTCTTAATAGCGATTTTGAGGGCTTTTTTCTTCTCCTTGTAGCGTGTCTCGAACAGCGCTTGCGTGGGACGCCCTCTACCGGGTGGTGTGTGTGTGCCGGGTGGTGTGTGTGTGGGTGTGTGTGTGTGTAATTCTAGTCTTAATTTTAGGTATTTACATTAGTAGTTTACATAAGTAGTTTTAAGCTTAAATTGAAGGGTATTATTTACATATATATATAAGGTTGTGGCGACCAGTCGTGTCGTCACAGAATAAATGTCAAATACTGAGCAACAGAGTACAGTTTTTAGGCTACATAATTCAGAGTGGAACCATCACTCTAGGTCCCGAGAAAATACAAGCCGTGCAAGAATTTCCCGAACCGCGAGACAAGAAAGGTATTCAGAGATTCCTAGGTCTGACGTCCTATTTTCGAAAATTCATTAACGGATATGCTTCCATTGCCAGGCCTTTGTCGGATTTGCTGAGAGGTGATTTTAAGTATGAATTCGGGGAGAAACAACGATTGGCGTTTGAAAAACTGAAGACTGCTCTCATCAGTGAACGAGTCCTGAAGCTGTATAATCCAAATTTACAAACTGAAATTCACACAGATGCTTCTAAGCACGGTTTCGGCGCTGTTTTATTGCAGAAAGATACAGAAGACAGTTTCTTTCACCCAGTTCAATATATGAGCCGCAAGACTTCACCATTTGAAGAAAAATATGATTCGTACGATCTGGAGGTGTTGGCTATTATTGGAGCTCTAGTCAAGTGGCGTGTTTATGTTTTGGACATAAAGTTTACAATTTTAACCGACTGTAACGCATTCAAGATGACAATGAACGAGAAGGAAGGTCCTCTTCGAGTCGCACGGTGGCCGTTAT